CAACATCAAAAAGTATTTAACGAAGAGTATTTAAACGGTAAATTAGAGACACATTTTACAGCCTATGTTCAGATGACACTACAGCTTCACCGTCCATCCTTTTTCGTTGTGCTGCTTAACCTAGTGGGGATTGCGGACTACAGCTCGTGTTTACAAAAAAAAAATACGAGATATCTACAAATATCAGAATAGTAAAAAATGTTCTTTGATCTCACCAGTCTGCGGCGCATTTTAGGATTCAGAGACAAGTCCCTACTCAGTCTCTGTGAAAAAGGTTTATACAGTAAAACCAAGTTCATAAACCTTGTTATCCAACGCCTCATGCTGAGTGAAAGGATAAGGTAAACCGTCTTAAATAAAAATTGCAACAGACGCTGCAATTTATGAGTAACGAACATGTGAATGACCCGAATTACTCATACTACTGTACCTCTAACCTACATCGAATTCTGTCGCATGATTATGACGTCTTTAACAAGCGACGCGATGACTGGTACAGGGTTGTGAAAATACGGTTTTAAGATTTAGAGAGAAAACCTGGAATCTTGTATTTCCAGATGCTTGTATAATTATACAAGCAAAACAGGAGTTAGGTACTGTATGATGACACTGCAAAAAAAGTAAATACAAAGGGCACATGGTTATATGGCGAAAATATGAGGTATGATCAGATGAAGCAGAATAGAAAAGAGAAGAGAAATGATTCAGAAACAAATCCTTTAATATAATTTACAACTGTTTTTACTTTCAGTAGCATCAGTCCTGGTTTGCCTTTTTTGTTTTGTAAGTCAAAGGGACGGATTCTACTGTGAAACAATATCAAGTGGACTTATTGAACTCAAGGGCTGTTTATTGTTCCACTCGAACACTCCACCAAATATTTGAACTTTTAATACGCACAACGATACATTTAATTTGAACTCCCTGATTGTTTTCAGCTCCTAATGGCCATTTATATTTTAACTCATGCATTTTAACTCAAGAGACGTAAAAGTTCCAGTCACTGAGATGAGGTTGGGCTTCTAACTAGGCAATTTCTTGATTATTTAAATCAAGATCTCATCTAAACACCAGCAGGTGTGGGGTTCTGTACAACTAGGACTGAGAAACTGTGGTCAGACAAACCACATGAATACAGGGGCATTAGGACCTGGTGGGGCTGGTACATTCCTTTGGCTCTATCTGGTTGGGCAAGACACACCTGTGGTGATTGTTTTTTACCTGACAAAACT